AGACACCGGTCTCTCTTACATGCATCAGAGGCTTATGTGTTAACCCTTCAAAGTTGGGCGGACTTGTTTTTTTTCCTGCTCTTAAAAGAGTCAAAGAAGTTCAACAAGGAGGTTTATTCGCACCTATCGACACCAATATAAATATAGGAGGGTCTATCTGCAATTAACTCTTTTGAAAAGAGTTAAATAGACCACCTAGGAAGAGAAAGGTCGGGGTGCAAAAATAAATATCCATATCTAGAAATATATTTGTATTTATATTCGTTAGGATACGAATTGGTTACTAAATGTCTATATCTGATAGGATGTGATTACGTATACTGATATGTAGTGAAATAATCGTATCCATATCTGAAATATTTGAGCATAACTTTTGCATATTTTAATCCTTATATTAATGGATTTGAGGTTAATTTTTTTGACAAATAAGAAATGCAATCTTAGCTTTTTAGATTCAACGAACATATTGATGAACTCTCATGTATCATATGAATTGTAATTTTTTTAATATAGTTTAGTTTTTTCATAACCGTTTTGCATCAGCATGTATATCAGTATCCATATCAGATTTTAGCGAATACGAATATAAGTTTTACTTACTTGAGGTATGTATGTATCTGCTAATATGTGTGTATCTTCTTCTCTGCTTTGGGAGCTTAACGATCCTCATGGGAGCTTGAGGATAGGTGATTCTCATGATATCTTGAGAATAGTGGTGTGAAGCGACATGGCGGAGCACGGGATGGAGCATGAAGCGAGTCGGAAGAACGAAGAATCAAATATTTCAGTTCTCAGCCTAATGAGTCGACTGACGAGTTGATGAGTCGACTGACGGTTGATGAGTCGATTGTCAAGTTGACGAGTCGACTCAAGAAATCGCCTCCAGATAGCAAAATGCTTCTGCTGAGTCGACTCATGAAATCATGAGTCGACTCATGCAGGCTAGTACAGTTTGTGCACGTTTTGAGTCGACCATGAGTCGACTGGTGAGTATGAGTCGATCATGAGTCGACTGATCGAGGGTTTCCCAGGCCGATTTGGTTTCTGTTTGGGGGAATCCTAGCTGGGTTTGGTTTTGGTTATTTACCAGATTGCTACCACGTTGTAAACCCTATAAATAGGGATTGTTTAGGGTTTCTAAAGGGGAAGTGAGAGACCAGATGTAGTCCTAAAGAGTTTTAGGTCTAAGAGAGATCCCGATCAAAAGGATTAGGGATCAGATGTAATCAAAGAGAGATTCTTATTAAGAGAGATTAGGGTTTAGAGAGAATTGAGAGTTTGTTATCGATTCTAGTGAGATTGTGAGAGAGGGATTGTAATCTTTTCATACTCATAATCTAGAGAGGGTATTTTTCTTCGCCACATACTGAATTGTTCTTGTGTTTCTGTCATCCTCTTCTCAACCCACTTTGATAATTCCGCGATCAAAGGTGCTCGCACGGCGACTCGTATCATCTGCATCCGTGATTGGTCAGCAAATACAGATATGATAAGTATCATACTCCCGTATCCGTGCACCCTCCTTAGCAAGGGATTAGAAAAGATAAGAGAAGACTAGAAAAAATTCATCAAGCGCTATTCTATTTCCTTAGATTAGAGAAAGGGATTAGAAAAGATAAGACCTTTGGGTCCTTGAAGAATCCTTTGCCGAAATCAGTAAGGCTCTGTTTGGTTTGAGGTAAATTGAGAGAAAGGAAAAAAAAAATAAGAAGGAGAACTAGGTTCTAATGTTTGGTTAGAAAGGAAGATAAAAGGAAACTGAAAACCAAATTACTTGAAGAAAATGTGCTTCTAAAATTTTTATTTCAGTTTTCTTTCCTAGAACGTAAGGAAATGGACGGAATATTTTTTCGGGGCCGAGTATAGCCCCCTTCACGAGTCCAGGATGCGCTGAATGTAAGTCATTATCACGTGGGCCCCACCGATATGATTAAAATGTGTCACTGGACCAATATGCTATTTGTAGTTGCACATAAAGAGGGATGTTTTTACACTAGACCCTTTAAACTTTCTTATATCAAATTTAGACCTCAAATCATTAAACTTGTTATAAAGTACCCCAAGTTTTAAGCTATTTCAAAATTAGTCCCTAAAATCATTGAAGTTGCCATTAGGTATCAATTCTCATAAGTTGTATAAAAAGATTCCCTCCAATTGTTACCGTTGTTGTTGCTGAACTAATCTGAAACAAATTATGACAATTGCTGAAGTTAATATAACTTAAATGATTTGAGGACTAAATTTTGAAATAACTTAAGGGGACTTGGTAGTAGTCTCAATAATTTTAGGGCCTCGTTTTAGAATCTTAGCAGTTATTGTTGACTTTTTTTGTTTAAACTGACTTTTTACTATTTGTATTTGATAGAAAATTGTTAGCAATCCACTTGGTTTATTCTTTTACTCGGTGTGATTTCTAGTGGTTTAAAAATTTTCAATGTGATATGCTTGTACTTATTTTCACTTATATGGATTCAATATACTATTCTCAACGATTTAAAATTGTAGCAATATATATTACTTTCTCCTATATAGTTTTTTTTTGAAGGCATACTGCAACTCTTTTTTTTCTATACAAAAAAAAACAAAACAAAAACAAAAACAAAAATCAAAAGAAACAAAAACAAAAACAAAAACAAAAACAAAAACAAAAATGTTTGTACCTTTCAAAAAAGAGCCTGTATAGGATCCACATATTGTCCTCATTAAGTCATTATATCACGTCCCGCTTCCCAAAAATACCGGGGAATCGGAACGTGAACAAGCCCGCGACGTATTAGATTGAGAAGAAATATACAATATTATTTTTTTCTCTTTTCTTCTCAATCCAATACGCTAAGCGTCTGGAAATAATACAATGCAAGGGCACAGGTCCCCGATCACAATCAGCAAGAATATAATGAATAACATAGAATAAAATAATACATATCACAATGAATATTCATCCCAGCCATAATATTCGGGTCAACATGCCCTTATACAAAACTATCTGAACAAATGAATACTAGAGAAAATAAAATACAATGATCAAGCGGAAAAGGAAATGCTACAAAAGAAACTAGGATCATCAAGTAAGAAGAGGTAGCTGAACTTCGGTCTATTCTTCAACTCTATCTGCAAGGCACTCCTACTGAGATTCCTCTGGCTCTTGACGATCTCCCAGCTGAACATGTTCTTCCTCTAAGTCTGACGTACACCAGAGAAAACATGTGTACGTCAGCGTGTATGGCACACGACAAGACCCCACAAAACAAAAAGAATAACGAAAACCAAAACGAAAACGATACAACAACAAAATGATAAAGAAACGTGCAACGGGAAATCTAATGAAATCAATCAAGTAATAAGTCGATAATGCAGCTAGCGATCAGAAATCATCCAAGTCACAAGGTCATACAACTAGATGGAATTAATACTTTAAAATCTATAACTCGAGACGTAGTACGTCGAACAAAATAATCCAAACAAGGAAACCCTCATGTATATACCATATGTCTCGAATTGTAAATAATTAAATATTAATCCCGATCTATGTACGAAGAGAAACACAACTGGCCTACATCTCACAAGAAATCATACCTAGCCAAGAAACGAGGTCATGTAACTAGCTATTCTATAACAGGTCACTGGTCACATCTCACACAGAGTTAACACTCCTATCATCGGATACTGACTGTTCACAAATCCCCTACGTGCATCCAATCCCGCGAAACAGGCGGCTAGAGGACTACACGCAATCCGATCTTGGCCCGGTCCGAACTCAAGCAAAGCTCAGGTGACGAAATGGGCCACAGATCAAAGTGACGAAACAGGCCACGGATTAAAGTGACGAAACAGGCCACTTTGTCCAACAAACCAACCCCAGGACGAAACAGGTCACTGGTGCGAGTCTAGAAGATACATCAATAGTCTTATCCGATCACATGAACATTAACTTCCCCATCACAACTCTTCTCGTTTTTCTAAGTCAACACAATACATGTCTCTTGGTCACGTAAGGCTACTACGGTCATGACCACTAACAGTTCTTAATCACAACCAGAAATAACGAATACGAATGATCATATACGATAATATCAAGGCATATCACATAATTAAGAATCAGAGATCATAAAATTGTTCTAAAATAATCTTATAAAATAATAAATTTATTTACTTAACATAATTCCTTTTACAAAATGAGTTCTTTCAAAATAATCCCTTTTTCAAAATAAGTTATTTTCTCATTACGATAATTCTAAAAATAATCCTTTAAAATAATAAATTCATAAATTCAAAAATAATCTTTTTATAAGATAAACTCTCATTAAATCAAAATAGTCTATTTTTCCAAAATAATTTCATTTTTTAAAATTATTTATCATTCTAAAATGATTTCTTCCACAAGATAATTTCTAAAAATTATTATAATTCTAAAATGATTTCTTCCACAAGATAATTTCTAAAAATTATTATAATTATTCTAAAATGATTCTTTTTCCAAGATAATTCCTTTTAAATTATTATAATTTTCCTAAAATAATTTCATTCTTAAATAAATTCTTTTTAATTAATATAATTATCCAAAAATAATTCCACTGCCAAAATAAATTCTTTTAATTTATCATAATTATTCTGAAAATGCTACTTATCATATTATTGTGATATATTTAATATTATTCATCAACAATCTCACGCAGATAAATATTAACAGATCTAAATTACAGATAATTTATAATAAATACAAAAATTCAGATCTGAGCAAGTAGGATCTTGCCTACGAGACCGTGGGGTCTGATGACGAGCGGCGGGGTCGATGCAGACACGGTACGATGGTCTGAAAGGGAGCAGCGGATCCGAACGACGCAGTTGTAGGGGACGGCAACGACGGTGGTTGTCATCATTGAGGGCTCAATGGGGTTCGACGGGGGCTGTTGGTGTGCGATTCAGCAACTGGATCTGCGTTGGCATATCATTGAACACGTGGCGTGAGATGGAAGCGCTGGTTGGCGGCGAGCTCGGGAGGCGACGGTAGCGAGTCCAAGGAGGTGATGGTGGCTGCGTTCGTCGAATCGGTCGTGCGGCGAAGCGGGCGGGTCAGGCGGGAGCAGGGCGAAGCTTGCGTGGCCTTGTTGGGGTTGGTTCTGCAGGGACAGAGGAGGGGCGGCTGGCTTATGGTTGGGGGACGACTCGGAGAGTCGGTGGTTAGGGCTCGAGGAGTGATCCCAGATCGAAGCGTGAGCGCGAACCGAGGTGGAGGTGCTCACGCGACGGCTCGGAAACTGCCGTGAGCAGCGAGCAGGGGAAGCGGCTGGGAGTTGATGCTCCTGCGCGCTTCGAACTGAAGTGGTGAGGGGAGCTGTGAGGCGGCTGGAGGAGCTCGGGGCGCAAATTGTGCGAGATCTTTTCGGCAAGAGCGTCGGACCTGTGCTGGAGCTCTCTCTTGTCAGGCAGAGCGCCCTCCATAATGCCATGGAGTGGAGTTTAGGTGTGATGATGAGGTTGACTGGTGCGGACCTCTCGGTAATGGGAGAGAGTGAACTGGATGGGAGTGAGCGAGTGATGAGATTTTGTAGAGAGAGAGAAAGAGAGCTCGTGAGTGAGAGAGAGAGCACGAGAGATAAAAAAAAGAGGGGGAAACACGAGGCAAGGTATTTGCGTGAAAGGGGGAGGGAATTGGGGAAGTGGGGTAGGGGAGAGAGAGGAATACAGAGAGAAATACCACAGAGAAAAACACAGGGAAAAATATAACCCTTTTAATAATTTAAAAATATCATAAAATTTATTCAAATAAATATTAAAAATTTATGGTCAAAATAATAATAACAATAACAATAATGAATAATTAACCATTAATTTAAAAATTTTACCAAAACAATTAAATTTATAATTAGCAAAACTATTAAAATAATATAATATCGTATTTTAAATCGTAGAAAATTCTAGAGAAATTGGGAAAAATCAAAATACTCTTTTAGAAAAATAATATTTAATATTTAAATACTAGAAAATTATTTAAACCCGTATTAGAAATTTACGGTCATTACACATTATAATTAATTTAAAATTGAAAATATTTATAAAATTAATAAATTGATGGGCACTATTGTATAATATAAACCAATTGTATTATCTATATCATTTTTTTTAGAACAATCATTATAATTAATTTAAAATTGAAAATATTTATAAAATTAATAAATTGATGGGCACTATTGCATAATATAAACCAATTGTATTATCTATATCATTTTTTTTTGGAACAATCAAACATAAACTGGTTGTTCATTATTTTCCTTCAATTTCTTCTTCTAATTTTCATCCTACCCAAACATGAAAAAGTAATCCATTTCTTTTTCTTTTTCTTTCCCTTTCTTTTCCTTTTCTTTTCTTTCATTTCCCCTCAATCCAAACACAGCCTAAAAGAATACACCGCTAAGGTAAGCAATTCTAGCCTTCGTTTTTGCTATCTTACTCCTTGATGCCATTGAAAATTGAGAACATTCTTGCTGTTAATTAATATGGTTTTTCATGTTCTGAAGTAGATAAATATCTTTTAATGTGTAAGATGATCATGGATTCGCCAAAAGTGAGCATTTTCTTTTGTAAAACAATGGAAAGCAGCAACACCGACAAAGCCCATACTGTTGAATTCCTCAAAGAAAAAGGATTCACCAAAAACCGAACCCAAAACGTATTCAGGCGATTCGAGAGCATCGAAGAGTCTCACGTCCGCGATAACTGGAACTACTTGAAAAGCATGGGCATTCAAGAGAAGAAACTGCCTCATATTGTCTCTAAATGCCCCAGGATCCTCACTTTAAGCTTGGATAACAAGCTTTTATCCAAGCTTATGCCTACAGTGCATTGCCTGGAAACCCTGGGATCGAAACCGAGAGATGTCGCTGCAGCCATTGCCAAATTCCCTAGCACACTTGTTCACAGTGTCGAAGACAAGCTATGTCGATCCACTGTTAGGATTCTTTCAGGCATTAGAAATACGAGGGAAGGAAGCGGGCAAAACTTGTTTTGTTGAATCCTAGGGTCATCAGTTACAGCATTGAGACAGTTTTCGGAGATTCTGGATTTTCTCGAGGATTGTGGCCTTGATCAGGATGGGATTATCGGTAGAATCCTGGTGAAGCACCCATTCATAATCGGGTATAGCTTCGAGAGGCGACTCAGTCCAACGACAGGGTTTTTGAAATCGATTGGTTTAAGCGAACTCGACCTGAAGAAGACGGTGATGAATTTTCCTCAAGATTTTTGCAGGGATGTCAATAAGATTTTGAAACCGAACGTGGGATTTCTGAAGAGATGTTGATTTGATAATGGGCAGATTGCTGTGCTTGTGACCGAGTATCCTCCTGTGTTAATCAGGAGTATAAAGAACTGCATGGAGCCAAGGATTAGGTTCTTGGTTGGGGTAATGGGAAGAGATATTAGTGAGATTGTTGAATATCCTCAGTATTTTAGACATTGATTGAATAAGAGTTTAGATGTTAGATGTAAGCTGATGAAAGACAAGGATGTGAGTTGTAGCTTGGCTGAGATGCTCAATAGCAACCAGAGGAAGTTCTTTCTCAAATATGGGCATTGCTGATGGTTCTCTTCAACCGTAATAAGAGAAAGTTCTTGTGATGGTTTTGAGTAAATGTTGGATCAAAGTTTCTTTCGTGTTCATCATGTGTGAGAATATAACGTTTGTTCTTTGGAGAACCTTCCCCAACTAAAATCACAACTCTTCTGATTGTCTCCATTGTGCCTGATGAAACCAGATGAGGACAGTATATGAAGCTATCCTTGCGCTTTTTTTTATCGAGCACAAATGATTGGGTGTATTAAATGTTGCATTGGGCATATCCACGTGAATATCTGGCTCGAGAAACTCCAGTGTCGCTCAGACACATTTCAAACTGGCATGACAATAAAAATGCATCTGTTTACATGCCAAATTTGGACAAGATTTCATTGTACACTCTGCAGTCTATCATGGGCCTGGAGATTTACGTGTCTTGATGGTTGTTGCTCTTGTTGACTTTAGATCATGTGGATGACTATTGCTCTGAAGAACCACTGTAGTCTTCGTCATCGTTTTCTGTAGCTGGAACCTGAGGAAGGAACTCTTCTTGGGGATACATGTGGGAAAATAACTGTAACATGAAGCAAAGAGAACCAACTTTTGTCAGACAATTACAAGATGGATTATCCTTTTTCCCTATAAAAGATTACACAGATGTAGATGAACATCATTTCTAAATTTTATTTGTACAGAGTATGAAGTTGTCTGTAGCACATTTTTACTCTAACCAGCAGAAAATATTGACTGCCACCAAGGTGGTCATGAATTATTCAATATGTGGAAACCTGCCCAGTGGCTAAAAAGAGTGCTGATTATAGTGAAAATATTGTATTATTTCTTTCTGAAACAGTAAAGTTTTTTTGTGAACCGGTCCTTAATTTTGCTAAGCCTACACAAAGTTTGAGTACTCCAATGAGAGAAGCATGACAAGGAGAAGACAGAAGACACAACTAACACAATGGCTAGCAGTATGGAAATGAAGTAGAGTTCATGATATGATGGAGTTAAATCTGAAATATAACATGAAAATAAATGGACATAAGCTATATAATATAGGTCTTCATCAACATATAAAACCTGAAAGGAAGATGCATGAACTAATTTAGAGACTAAATTACCTCCATTGTTGATTCCAATAAATCTCGATAGTCCAAATTGGCATCAGGCAGGGGACTTGAACAAACAGTACCAAATGAAGCCTGCATTAGTCGAAATATGATCACAATGTGCATAGTAGCCATTGCTCTGTAATCAATGTGGCCTCCTTTTTAATTTTTTAATTTTTTATTTATCTTTATTTAATATTTAATATTTTTTGTGGTATGTAGCCAATGTAGCCATGTAAACAACATTCGTTCTAGAAGGTGTAAAAGTTAAAACTTGATATAACTGTGATTAACACTAGAAAAGTTAGTCACCTGTGTAACCTCCTGATCATACACAGCACTCCATATTAGAGTCGGCTTTGATACTTCTGCACCTTCATTGTTTCTAGATATACCTTCACAGTTGTCCAGATTGGGAAGGGAGAAGAGAGCATTCATGGCAGAATCACATGAAGTGGAAAGATGCACCACATACCTGGAAAAAGAAAGTATGAAGCATATAAATAAACCAATAGTGGCTTTGTATACATTAATTGTTCTAAATTGTCTAATAAGTTTTCTCTAGTAACTTAAGAGAAATCAAGATACAGAGATCTAGATGTGAAGTTCTTCTTAGATATTATGGCAAGAGTGATTAATTGATATGGTGATAAAACATTATTATATAGCGAAAACAAAGATAAGTGCTCTCAAAGAGGGTATGACTTACATCCCCTGAGGACACACAGCTACATTACTGCTTAACTGCAGTGCTCGTACAGTTGTCAGCTGCCCCGCATGCAGCGCTGCAGGAAGGAGACCATTGTCAACTGAAGGTTTGATTGTATTAGTATTAGTTAAATAGGGAAGTACATATCTTACATCCAGGAGGGAAAATCACCAGAATGTTAGATAAATCCTGCTTTAGGGAAGAACTGGTTACACATACTCCTCTAGCAACCTTCTCAGATAGGTTTGAAGCATTTGAACCTTCATGATCTAGTGGCAATAACACTGAAGATGGAACCTTAGAAGATGGTTCCACTATCAGGTGTTGGCTCAATATTTCCTGACCAGATGCCAAATTAACACCTTTATACTCTTTAGTTTCCTGCAGGTTAAAATGATAAAAGATAACAGTTATAACCACCAAGAATATTCCAACAGTGAAGATAACTGAAAATAGGTTGAGAAAGAAGACTGTTGCACATATTTATAACATGATAACCTGACAAAGTTCAGACTAGTATATTTAGGAAAACATGTGAAGGAAATTTTACGCAAGAAATAGCTGACATTTGCAAATTAATTTCTCATAGCGTTATGGTTTCCACTGAACAGAAGGAAAAGAATTTATTTTCTAATGTGAGGAATGCCTAACAACATTAAGGAAGTCCATAGCCTGAAATCACGAGTCCATAAAGACTTTACACAGTTACATACATAAGTCTCGATACCACACTAAATGTGAAGGAATAAGCTTTAGCATCCTACCTCGTCAGCAAGTATCTCTACCACTGGCATACGCAGTACCTGCATATATGGCACAAGAAATGACTTAATAATATCTGAGTACAATTATTGAAACGTGTCCTAAAATTGCCACTGTTATATATAAACTTTATTTTGATTTTTTTCCCAAACATGTGATTTTGATGTAGGTGGGGTAAATACATTTCTAAATATGCAAACAGTATGAATTTTGTTCAACAATCATGAGATGTGCCATAGATATACCCAAGAAGTGCCCAGAACATGTTGCCCAAAACTTAAATATGTAAATTAGAGGAAAAGAATTTAAAAGTGTCGGTACGAAGAGTGTACGGCATGGACATGTCATGATGATATAAGTGTCTATGCTAAATATAGTAATGGAGCATGACAAACATTGGAACTAACATCAAGAGAGGCCAACCACTTAAACCAAGAAAGAAGTATGTAACATCAAGCTTTCAACTACACTTGCCGCTAAAATAGATTATCTGAGTTCTCACTTCTGATTGATATACTTACCAATAGATTATCTTAGTGAACTCAGGGACTAGTAAATAAGTAAATTTCCATTGATAAGACTAAAGGCTATCGATAATCAAAGCATGAGACTTACATAAAGAGCACCTTTAACAGCAGCACAACGGCAAAAAGCTTGGGGCAATTCTCCATGCCCATACATAGGGTAGATGAAAGCCCCCACTGCATTTGGGAACCTGTCACAATATTGAAGGACAAATCCATGAGGATATATACATCATCCATAAGAAAGTATACTTAAACAAAAATATCTGAATCATATAGAAGACCAAACAGAATTTCATCCTTAGGGTGTCCTTCAATATTCACTATGTTAGGAACATTTGACAATAATATATTCAGTGGCTAAGTGAGAAACAAGCCTAGATTGAATGTGACAGTACATAAATAGCATCAAGATGTAAAGAGGTTCAACAGAAATATCTCAATACACAAATAGCATCAAGAGGTGAAGGGCTTCAACATCACCAGAGATGTTCGATATATGGCATCCATAAGAAAGAGGATAAGAATACAATTATAAAAAGTAAGATATAGCACTAGTGAAATCTTTATGAGTGAATCCTGAAAAAAGAGCAGTAGTAGAGTGTCATAGCAGACACCAAAGCCAGAAATTCTAACATTTGATACCTTCATTTTGTGAAGTTTAATACATACATACATACATACACACACACAGATATATATATATATATATATATAATATGGACCTATTATATGTATACATATATAATAGAATAGTATAGTTATATATGAGGAGAATGGAGAAACTTGTACCAAAGTTGCTTTCAAGCAACTTGGTAGTATGTGACCCCTAATCTTGACCTACATCTACATAGGAAATGGAGGGTGTTGAGCTCTATCTTCCCGGAGGTGTGATGAGGGTCAAGATTGCACCTCACTACCAAGTTGTTTAGGCAACTTGTACGCAAGGTTCTCCATATTTCTCTCTCTCCTCGTCTCCTATATCACTACATGTATAAGCAATATAATACTATTAATATAGTATATAAAATGATATACCTATACAATAACTATATATACTGCGCCAGCCTAGTAACGTCGTTCCCCCAAGATTTTTTGACATTGATACAATGTATTATTTCTTATTTAGTGACTTCTTATTAATAAGGCATGTCTTTGTAACCTATTGTTGCTAGGTTACAATAATTGAAGAAAATTAGGATATGTTATTGAGAAATAGAGATGTCAGGATTTAATGGTTGTCTATATTTTCTAAAAAAAGAGGGATCGCCAAAAAAAGCCTTAACACCCTTCCACAATTAATTAAAAAAAATTCACATGCAGTGTGACCTAGTTTTATGTAAAGCAAAATATTAGAAATTCACTCCCAATGCAAAGCTTTGTTAGATCATAATAATAAAACTTCAATGTCAATCAAAACTCATGATTTCTAGCTTCTCTTCTTAGTCTAGCTGAGTTGATAGGCTCACACTATGAATTGCCACTCACATGACGAAGAATTGCTTGATTATGAGACTGACTCTCATTGCTTCACAAGAAAGTTTCCTCGAGTGACGAGTATCAATGTCATAGTTGTCCAGGTCATATGAATGGAGAAACTCCCACATCTTTATCATTGTGGTGGATCAAAATCATTCACCACAAGTCAACCAAGATAATACGTACACGATGGTGTAAGAGAGGAAGAATAGATATTCCTCTGTAGGTATCAGAAACTGGACCTAATTAGAAACACAATGGATATCAAATATCCAATTCAATCAGATATGTGCATCACACTTTATTTTTGTCAGACACTTATAAGCATACAATACAGATTAGAAAAGTGAAGTACCAGCCTGGATATCCAACTATCTGTACAAATCAGATGAGTGAAATTATTTTGGTCTCGTATTAGTAGATATGAAGCCGATATTAGAATTAGGGATCTAATTCTAGATTCTTGTCGAGATTGCATCCCTATACCTAGGAGTAAGACACGACAGCATGCCATTGAAGCTTAGCAAGAGAACAATACAAGAGAAGTTTAAGAAAGTTAAATTGCAAGAAGAAAAATAAATGGAAGAAAATCAATCTTTTCTAGGTGTAAAGAACAGTTTGCAGAGAAAGTGAGCACAATTTCTCAAGTAGCTATGGTTCCGAGGCATAGGAAACTTGTCCTTCGACGTTACCATCGCTAATTATCATTTCTCAGGCACGAAACAATTTGTCAACATACATCATCTTTTGCGCATTTCAAGTTGTATTTTAGTAAGTGCATACTTCAAATATCTACTGTCGAAGATAAACACAACACATCATGCAAATATAAAACCATGCAAACAGTTCGAAACAAACCTCCCAACTGATTTGATATAAAGTCCTATACTCGCAATTCCATCCTTGGTCTTAATCAGCTTCTTACACCCCTCTCCACTCTCCTGATCGTACTCCGCCAACACAATCGCGTACAAGATAATCCTACAACAAAAAATCCAACCTCAAAAAAAAAAAAAAATCACAACTTTAGACCAACAAATCACAAGACCAGAATAAAAAACAGTAATCCTTACGATCTTATCTTCGGCGGCAATCTCTGCCTCTTCAAGAACTCGACAAATGGCATCTCCAGATCCTCCTCCGAAACCCTAGACCCCTCCTCATCCCCAATATGCCCCTGCACCAACCTCAAGAACCTCATCATCTCCCTCTTCTCCCCCAACTCAAGGCTACGGTCCTTAAATATCGCCTGCCTCGAATCCGCACTCGAACATAATGCTCCTCGAATAATCAAGCTTCCATCGACGCTCTTGAACTCGCATTGGTGACCGGCGCCAGAATCTGAGGGACGTCGACCATGGCGTCGCGCAGTAGAGGAGCCTGGGGCCGGCGAGGTCGAGGGAGACGATTGGAAGTTCTGGAAGGACGCCGGAGGTTTATGTGAGAAGGGAGGATGAAGGGGGAGGAGGCGAAGTGGACCCGTAGAGGGATTGGTTCGAAGATGGAGACGGATTTCCCGGAGGCGGCGCGCGGCGGCGCGATGATGGAGGAGGAGGCGTGTGCCGTGGATGATTAAGTCGTAGCTTGTGGGTCCAGCGTTGGGTACCGTCGGCGTGGCGGCCATGGCGACGGATGGAGACGAGGAGAAAGTGGGGGTGCTTTGAGTGCAGACGGACCCCGATTGGAGCCGGTCAGGGGGTAAAAATTAGATTTAAATCCCTCAGGTTTTTACAAATTTGTTCAGGTAAAATTTTTGGAACTTTTTGGCACTTTAGATACCGAACAAATTTTCACTGTAGCCCCATTTTTAATTTTTATTATCGAAATCGACCTCTCTCTCTTTTTTATTTACCGGAATCGACCCGGTTTCTCGTCACGTCAGCGCCGTGGCGAGAAAGCGGGTCGATTATTTTTTAAACGGCCTCGTAAACAGTCGGGGTTGTCAACCCCGACTGTTTAGTCGATCTGCTACGAGGCCCTTAACTAATTGGTCGGGGTTGGGAACCCCGACCAATTCAAAATGGTCCTATTTCGAATTGGTCGGGGCTCCCAACCCCGACCAATTAGCAGAGCCCAACCGCTGCTGGGTTTGCAATTCGAAATAGGACCATTTCGAATTGGTCGGGGTTCCCAACCCCGACCATTAAGCAGAGCCCAAACACAGGGCCAGTGTAGGTGCACAAAATGGTTGGGGTTCTCAACCCCGACTATTTTACAGACCTCCTTCCAGCCCACATTCACCTAGAAACTCATACTTACTGTAGTACAAAATATAATCACAAATAACACATGCTAAAATGCAATCATACTCCTGTTATCAATCCACAATGCAATCACAAACACAAATATCATACGTACAATTCATATTCACAAACTTAACATTATATCAAATCCATCGCAACACAAACAACATATCAAGTCCAAATTGCAACTCAAACGCAAACATCCTATCAAGTCCATCGAAACTTAACAAATATCAACAACGCCATTTCCCCTCCCTCTCCCTCTTCCTCTCCCTCTCCCTCTCCCTCTTCTTCCTCTCCCCCTTCCCTGTTCACCTTCGACGTGAGCTCGGATAAGTTCCTCGTCCGGTTGTGTGTGAAGTTGGGAGCGCATGACATCCGCGTCGACTCGAACCGCCTGTGAACATCCAGCCTGAGCCTGTTGTGAGCCGCCAACTTCATCATGCGCACAGCTTGATCCCGCCCCCGTGTGTCCTCGTCGACGTCGCCGCCCGTACTCAATTGGTCGCTCCTCCCGTCCATCACGGCTTGCATTACACGTCCTCTGAAGAGCCGACCGTATCTTTTTTATCATTCGAAGGAACGTGTTCCTCGGCTCCTGCTCGGTAGTCATGCGCAATGCGTCATGTGCCATAATAGAAAGCTCTTCGAGCTCTTGTACCTATAAAATAAAAACCGAAAGAAAATTATTATCAAGTGGATGGTGAGAAAATAAAACTCAAAAAATAATTGTATATTTTTCTTATACACTTACTAACTCTCTCTCAACTGGGCTTCTTGGTATGTACTCCTTCAGGGCTTTGTTTTCTTGAAATATCCACAGGCGAGTAATCCCCCAATACCACCGCAGGTACACACCTAGGTCAGGTGCATCAGCCCTCTCCATCACTACCTGTTCCTCCCTTAAATCCCACCTCTGGATGTAATTTTGGCGAATTATTTTCCAATTAGCACGATGTGCACCTTTTCTTGGATCTCTCTCTATTCTCTCCACAGGCGCTGGAATATATTGTCGTAGTCCAAATTATCGAAGCACACGGTCAGGCACGTGCATTTTGACAATCTCAAAGCATATAAGTGGGATGTGAGCACGCCATACATCCTCACCTTCCCGGCAAATATCCGGTAGTGACTCCAACACTAGCTCGTAGGGCATCCATTTGACCTATAAAGAAGATATTATGATATATTGATTGAATATATTTAGATATCGGTAACAATTGGTCGCATAATTGAATATATTTAGATATTATAATTTTTATACATGTTCATCCTCCATCTGATCAAGCTCATTTCTGTAAAAGTTTTCATGCCCCTTTGGAGAGGTTTGCCAAGATCTGGACACATTCCATCTATTTTATATACAACGGGTTAGTATATATTGAAATAAAGCACTGAAATTACATGCATCTTAATAATACCTGCAGCCTAACGGAATATGGCCATCGAGAGCGCGGACCTCCCTCAAATCAGGTGTTCCCAAATGCAATCGCTCTCATGACCATATCTGCAGCAAAGTGAGGCAGCCCTTTAATTCTTTGTTTTGTACGAGTGCTATTTTCATCATCTCTCTATACAAGTAGGCTAACACTGCACTCCCCAAGATAACTCTCCACGCTCCGATAGGTCCGCAAGAAGCAATAACCATCTCACGTGCACGGAATCCTTAGTGGAATCCGGAAACAGAATAGTACCGATCATATGTAAAATATATGCACGGGCATAGCTCTTAATGATCTTATCAGTCGCATCGATCGGTACATTCATAAAGTTATTCCTTAACCATTCGAGCTTGATCTTTCCCCCCTTCATTGTAGGACAGTGACCCAACAATTCTTCACACGCCCTGACATAGCTGAAGTCATCGGTGCCCGTCACTGCATCACCATCTACTCCGAGGCCAAGTATAACCCTAACATCCTGCAAGGTAATCGTCGCCTCTCCTTGGCGCAGGTGGAAAGTATTTGTCTCGGGCCTCCATTGTTCAACCAATGCCGTCAAAAGTGCCCAATCAAGTCTTACCCATTTAAGTTGTGAACATTCAAAAAAGCCGGATTGACGCACATAATACTATATCTGTGGATCCGTCAACTCCCAGCTAGAGTGTGCACGGGTATGATCAACAATAGTAATACTCGGGGCCTGCTGTAGGCGTCAAAAAATGCTTACAGACATCCAAATACCACCCAAGGCAAAGAGAAGACGATAAACGCCATTCTCTTAATCAAAGGGGATCATTCAAAGGAAGCGAGACAATATGGAAGAATAATGTATACACCAACAGGCAGTACATGACGGCGCGGATGAGGCGCGTCAATATATGGTGCCGCGACTAAAGCGCGACAGTCCATGGTGCCGCGGCTAAGGCGCGGCAGCCCATGGTGCCGCGGCTAAGGTGCGGCAGCCCTTGGTGTCACGGCTATTATAGGGGGTGTTGCGGCGGTTACAAGGCAGTTATACGATGATTTTTTGAAGCTCACGTGGCGGCATATCAGAAATAGAACGTGTGCTGACGTGGACAAGCAGTTAAACCATGAAAAAGATGGTTAAAGGTCATGGGAGAACAGTTTCAGGCACGAGAAAACGTGGCTGTAACTGTCCTTTTGGCCGCGGCAGTCTACACTGCCGCGCCAATAGCCACGGCAGTGTTGACTGACGCAGCCAAAGAGCAGTTATTTTGTCAGTTCTTGCGCCCCCATTTCCATTGTGGTGTACTCCTACCCCTATAAATACCCCCTAGACACGAAATAAAGGACAGAGGGCAGATTGGGGCATAGAGACTTGAGCTTTTGGTGAATTGGAGTATGAGAGAGAGTTTTCCTTCTTCACAAACATCCTCAAGAAGCTTTTGGCGATTCCTAGAGATCTAAGCTCTGATTTGATCTTTAGAAGAGTGAACATCTTACATCGATAAGATATTCGCTTAAAGATTCTTACTTCGATAAACGAAGGAAGGATACCCAAAACCTTCACGATTCAATCAGAATCTGTGAATCAGTGGTCCACGGGCTAACGCACCCCGGCACAGGCAAAGATCTCACGCAAGCAGCGATCCAAACAACGATCCTGCGTTTGTTTCTAAAAAAGTTATAATTTTCATTTTGTTGTGTAAGAGAAGTCTTATAAAAAGACTATTTCTTTTGAATTTGTTGTAATCGACCGAAGATATAATGAATTCTACAATGAGACCAACTTTTGACGAAAATAAACTAGCGACCACAGTGGGAGCCAACGGTCTCGCTGTCGAGACCGTCGTGTCGCAGCCGATCAAGATTCCAGTTAAATCCACGGTCGAATACGAGTTCGACCAAACCAAGTTTGAGGAATATCTCTCATCATCCTCTTCAAGATCTTCATTGTCTCGCAAGTACAAGAGGATCTCACCATTGAAGAAGACTTACATGCCAAAGAAGGCACAAAGTGAAGACTCTCACCCAATCGTTGTCGATGCCTCCCCTCGCAACATTATCCCGGCGACCCCCAAAGCAGGAAGCTCTGCTCACAATGATTCCACCCTAATTAAGGAATCGTTCGATCGAAGTCCGCCGGCACTGACGAAAAGAGCTCGTCAGAGACAACGCCAACGTCGCGCTCTCCAAATGGCTAAGGCCTTGGAACAAACCGACGGAGTTCGTTATCATGCGGACTTAGAGTCGAGGAGGCATCGAGTGGTTCAGTTGTCTCAACGACCAACCACTCATATCTCTGCTAAACTAACGACGGATGAATGAACTATTGTCAAAAGGGCTCGCTCGACCCTCAAAGAACGCATATAAAAACATCGTGCAAACGCTGCTCATGCCCGTGCTCTCTTACAACAAAGACGAAAAAGGAAGAAGGAAACGGTGGCCAAAGAACTGCCAAAACTCTGCAAAGTTTGGATTCCAAAGTCTGGAGTTGTGCAAAATCAGCATTCGGAGCCCGTTAAGACTCCGCACCCGCAAGGGGGTGGTTCTAAACGTGTGACTCCTGACATAACCTTGGATCGCTCAAAGGCAATAATAATTTGGCTTGAGAATGCCAACAAGGTTTTACACCCCCAGAAGAAGACGTGTTCACCAAAAGACATCGTTATGCCTGGGAGGTCATACCAACAGACGATAGGATTTTCCGACAATCATACCGATGAATCGTACTATCAAGCTGTGGGTTTGAATAAATTTCGAAAGAGAATTATTCGAGAAATAAACTCTCATTGTTCCTGTGCACGACTCATTAAAGCAGCATTGTTGGAATATAACTACGCAAAACGAGAAGCCATCCCACGAAGAGTCTCGGTATTCCACAGTCTTTTCACCGATATGTCAAAGCCTAAGCCGAGACATTTCCGCAAGAGAAGATCAGCTGTCCAAGATGACGAATTCCCTAAAGTTACCATCAA